TGAGATGATTTTTCCTGTAATTTATCTGAATCTTCACTCAAATCTTTAGAGTTTGTATTATAAGATTTTTCATCTATGTATACTCAGTTTAATCTTTCTTATTGACTGCAGACTTTCTTTCAATATATTTGTAGATAATAAGGCTATATATTTTCCTACTTATCTTTTCAATCCATTTAAGAACTATGTTTTTTTATATATAAATCATGGGATTAAGAAACAAGATTATTAGCTACTTGTATTACTCTTTCAAAGGTTTCTTCCACATCTTCCCTCTTCTTTTGCTTGAAATGTGAAAGACTATCAATGACTTCTCCATGACTCTTCTTTTCTTTGAAATTAATAATGAATGTATCTCAAAAATCTTCTTAAGAAGTAAAGTGTCTTATAGGATATTGGGCATACCACTTAAGTGCTTTTTTTAAGTATTACTAGAAAAAATATTAATTTGTCTTCAAGTACTCTATTGACCTAACAAACATTATTAAATTCCCTATTGTAGATGTTTGGATTCTCTTTGTTCTTAAATTTGAGTAATCTACCTTTTATATGTCTAATAGTTAGTGTTATATTGATTATTTCTCTTTGTTGTAATGGTATGGATAAACTAGAAGACCATATTAAAAATTCTCTTCATTCTATACTTATAGTAGAGTTTAACTTCCTTATAAATTCTTTTATGATTGAAAGACTTCTTCTTTCTTTTCTACTAGCAATACTTATCAAATTTGTGTCGTCTTTACTACTAGAACTTATATCTTCTATTAAATTATTTAACTTAAGTATCTCAAAAGAATCCTCTCTTCTATTGTATTGTTTTTTTCTTTAAAATTTTTGTCTATCAATTCTTTCCCTTTTTACCTCTTTTTCTTCTTGTTTATATACTCTGTAAAAATAATGTCATTCAGCAACTTGTTCTCTTGGAGTTTTTGGACTACTAAGAAAACCAATTTCATGGCTCATTACCTAATGTAGTATTTGACTTTCATAGTTATTAATTTTATGTCGTTTTGTAGTTTCCTAATTGCTAGAGTTGTCTCTCACATAACATTCTTTGATGTAGATTTCTCTTTAATGTGCATCTTACTTTTACTTTTTTCTTAAATAAGATCAAATACTATTTCTTTCTTCTTTTGTCATATTTACTCAATCCTTTTAGTTTGGTGTATAATTTAGAATTGTTCTATACCATCTTTACTTATGGTTCTTAATACTTATAGTAAATTTAATAAGTTCTATTCAAAAAAATTACACATTATTACTAAATAATCAATATTAATTTTATAAATTTTATGAACTTAATTACCAAAGATAGAAATATATCTCCAACATGGTTGCCAAATATAAACCTAGATTTTCACAGCCTAAGAATCATAAGATATTTCTTGTATGTTTCTACATAAGAACTATCCTTGTTCTTGTTTCAATTCCTTAAAGCTCTTATTTTCTTCAAAGTAGATGTCAAACAATTCAACCTCAAATCTATCTTTAATATATTTTTCAATTTTGTCTTATCTTCTTCAATTTTCCTTCAAAGCTTTTATATTGAAGACAATCATATCTTTATGAACTTTATCATGTCTTCATCTTCTTCCACCTAATCTTCAAATATTTATATCTTCATAAATTTTAACTTGTCTTTCTCTTTTCAATCTAGTCTTCAAATATCTATATTTTCATAAAATTCATCTTGTCTTCATCTTTTTCAATTTAGTCTTCAAACATCTATATCTTTATGAACCTCTTCTTATAATTCTTATAACTTAATAATAAACCAAAAGTGTAAGATGAAATAATATACAAACAAGTCAAATATAAGTCTCTTTATTTTTATTTTTTTTTATAATTTTAATACAACTTTGAAGCTATTTATAGCTTTTATATAGTGAGTTTCTTTTAATACTATTTAAACATAGTAAAAATAATTTATTTCTAACTACCATAACTATTAAAGGTGGTTACAACCACCTTAACTTTTAAACACATGGGCAGATAACATCTTTGTTTTTTTTACTTTTTTATCTTTTCTTAATCTTATTTATACTTACTTCTATAATTTTCTTTTTTAAACTAAGTTTTTTTCTTTTTTTTGTTTTATATTATTTTATTTCTTTTGCATTTCTTTATGATATAAAATAAAATCTTTATTTTATTAAATGTAATTTCTAATGTTAATAGACATATCTTAAAGAACCTTTTTAATAATAAAAATAAACTTTTAATATACTTTCAATGCTTGTAAATCAAAAAAACTTAAAATTACTACAAAATTTACATCCATCTATAACTCTCTTTTTATAAATAGTAAATTCTAATCTAGTACCTAGAAGACAATCCTTACACATATTTTTAGAAATTCCTTTTCACATTGGTAATATGTCTTACATTTGATTCAATCTAATTTGCATTGTGCAAGTTGTCATACATATATCATTTAAGCTTTGCTTATATATGACAATCAATATTGTATAGCATAACTCTTGATAGAATTTAATTTTCACCAAGTATCAAGATTTAGAATTTAGAATTTAGATTTATATGGATGAACCTAGATTGTTGACCACTCTTATTTTTGTCGGAAAAAAAAAACCAAAAAACCAAAAAACAAAATATGTACATATTTAGAAAAAATAACATAAAAATTTTACTTTACAAAATATTTTATAAAATTATGAAAATTATCTGCATACTATTCTAAACACCTATCAAATAAGATGTATTTTGGGATACCATATAAAGAGTTGATGTCTATTAGTATATTACAAAAATAAAAGCTAAAGATCAATGTTACTAATAGCAATCCAATTATGATTTCTTAGTTCATATTTTAAATTTTTATTATTTTTTTTCAAAGCAGATTTTGTTTATTTTGCTAAAACTTTTGTCTTTGCAAAAGTTCTATCATAAATAAGATGTTGTTTGATCATTAATATATTTTCTACAAAAAAAATATTTTCTATGCATTGCAATATGAAGTACTTCAAATAATGTTTTTTTTTTTTAGTTATATTTTATAATGCAAAACTCTTCATAAACATGATACTTGTCACATTTATTTATATTACATACCTATGTCATTAAAATAAAATATTCAATAAGATATTAATTTAATATTAAAATATTTTTAAAATATTCTAATAAAAATAAATCATGTAATATGATAAATTCAAATTATACCCCTTTATATTTTTTCATAAATAATTTCAATAGTTTAGATTATTTTTGAATTGGCATCATATGTAATATGCTTTAAGATATCTATTTCAAATATAGCAACCTCAATTAGAACAAGATCCTACTATATCCATTTAATAGAGAATTATATATAATATGAATTGATCAAAAAATAAATATAGCTATTGTAGGATCATAATTTTAGACTATTATTTATTTTCATGGAATAAAAGATGCATAATTTATCAAATATACAATCTTGTGGTAAAAAAAATACTTTTTAAATTTTGAACTTTATTATAGTTCTAAAGTAAAATTATTTCTTTGTTGTATTTTTGCCTTGTATTATGGTGCATTAATGTTTTTGAATAACTAATGTCTCTATTACATAAGTTAATCTTTATTATTGTTTTTCCACAAACTAGTCTACTACAACACTGGTTTTTAAGAATTTTAATTCTACTATAACCATATTATTATCTACTATTAATTTTAAGGATTGGATTTTTATTTTATATAATTTTATTTTTATTTTTTTATATAACCACCAGATAGCTATTCAAAGAAATACTTAGTTAAAATAGATTTGGTGGCATGTGGTTATTATAATTTATAATTTGCATTGAATCTTTGAATTTTTTTTTATCCTTTGTAATAACGTAATTGGACATATAATTCATTTATAGGTACTGTAGTTGAAGTTATCTATAATCAGTAAATTACTTATTTACGAACTCTTTGACATAATTTTATAAAGGCTACTTGATTTATATATATATATATATATATATATATTCCTATTTTTAATTAATTGAATATGTTTGTGTATTATTTTGATCTTCTTGCTGATATATATATATATATATATATATATATATATTTACATGTTATAAATTATTTTATCTTAATGTAATGTATCTTCATATATATTGTGATTTATCTTGCACCTTTATTCATATATGTATATATGTATATGTGTATGTATACATACATACATACTATTTAGACAACTTATTAAGTCTCCATTCTATTAATAAAAAAAGCATTTTTGGTGATTTTTATATGGTAGAACTTAAAGTCGAAAAAGGAAACAATAATAATGTTTGATGATTTCAATCAAAATTAGTTAATGATAAAAAGTATGATCTTTACATCCAAAAACTACATACAAAAAGTAACATTCTGCTTAATCATAACTTGCAACAAAGAATGCGACATAGCAAAAAGAAAATTTAAACTCTCTTTCAAAATTGCTTTGTTCTTAATCCAATAAACAATAGTGTATACAATTCATCCACTGTGAACTGTTAAATAACATGGAAAAAGATACCTTTGTGTAGAGCCTATGAAGCTTGGATCAAACACACCTCCTCCAGTCTTCTTTTCTTTACAAAAGTTCAATCTTAGTACTTACCTTTTTTAAAGTACATGACATTCTAGTTAGTTGTTCTTACAACAAGCTCTCATCTGTCCATCTTTTCTATTGTCTGTTTTTTTTTGTTTCTGTTTTTGTTTTTTGACACCTCCTCATATTGTTTACCAAAGTGGGACATCCATGTACTTGTAACAATGTATAGCCTGCAACTTGACTACATCTCCCATTTGGAAACAGCTCAAGTCTGCAACATATGGATGAGACATCCATTTTGAGCCTCCTTTGTGTTACGGTGTGAGAAACAGTAACTGAGGCACAAGAGATATTCCCAGGTGATATATTCAATCTCTTCAAGCCTCCCATATTGTGCAAAAGAAAGTCGATGTGATGATTTGCAGAATTGTCTTTGCTTTTCTTTGTATGTATGTATGTATGTATGTATGTATGTATGTATTTCATGCTGCTACTTATCGATTTCAGGTAAAAAAATACATATGACAAGCTGATTAATTGTAGGAACCACGGCATTTGCACTTCTCGTTGAGACTAATTACAAGGTACTGCGGTTAATTAAAATTCTCTATTGGGAAGCACCATCGACTGGCTCCAACCCACACCCGTCAATGATCTCAACGAAACCTCAAACCTCTTCAGAGCCTGCACAAAACTACACTAGAGGCTTGAGATATTGAGGAATCCAATCCTCTCCACCGACGAAGTTGAGGGACAAGAAGGGCGCTGCCTCCCAGTTTGTGAGTTCTCTCGACCACATCACTCTCCCTGTCTCGTTTGCACCAGGCCCTGAGCATCTGTATTGGCCATAATACACAGACCTGCAAACAAACAAAACAAACAAAACAAACAAATATAAAACACAGTCCGAAGAGGGACTAGAAACGCATCTGTGCTTCGAGAAGTCAAGTTATGTAAAGACTGAAACATCGAGTGGATTGATCTGTGTAGGATGTGTTAGTCAGTCGAGTAGATGTGTAATAAACTTGTGACACGTTGATCACACATTATGAAAAGAGTTCCTTGTTTCTGGAGGAGACTCACAGCTGCCTGTCAGGAAGGCCCCAGTCGAACCACCCAGGCGCATAAACGACGTCGGACATCCACGTAAAAGAATACACAACCCTTGAAAAGGGTCCCCAAGCTCGGCCCAAGTAGACTCGCCCAGCTCCAGTGATTCTGCAGTTCAGGAAGGAGAAGCCCGTGTTGTCGGTTGCATTTTGCCTCTTTTGTGCTGTTACCGCACCCCATTGTGTCGGCATCACGTTCAGCTCACAATTCTGCAAATGGCACAACCCATTTTCTCCTAAAAAAAACACAATTTTATATCATCCTTTCGCACGGATTGTGATTTATGAGAATAATCATGTGTACGGTGAATTGGGGCTTGTTGAGGCTCTCACGTAGAACATGGAAAGACCGTTTCCGAAGATGAAGTCGATGCTGCCTTGAATGAAGGTGTCCTTGTAGAAGTGGCGACCATTGTGGTCGTATAATGAGTCTTGGTTGCCGATGATGGTGCAGTCATGGAAGGCGGCGTAGTCAGACGTTACTCGAAGCGCCACGGCTTGCATGCCTATAGCTCCTGGTGGAGGTGGAGGTGCAGTATTCTGACAAAAAGATAACCATTACAAATGGGGTCAAATTTACGAGAACAAATACTTTGGAAAACCTTTTTTCTGTAGTTTCCTGCTCCTGTGATGCTACGATGGCCATGTGCTTTTGTTTTGAGTGATCATTAGACCCGACTTCTGGCAAATTTAGCTTGTGATCGAACCTGGAAAGTAATGTAGCGAGCTAGAAAGAAGTTTCCAGCGACTCCAAACGTGGCACTATCGAAGGTATGGTTGCCTGAATGGAAGTTGGTGTCGTTCCAGACGATTGTGGGCTGACCGAGTCCTTGCAAGGTGATGAAAGGTCTTGTCCTCTCAATAGTCACTTTTTCTCTGCAAAATACAAAGGGGGTTCGTGGCACCAATGGCACTGACAAAATTGAGAACAAAACAATATTGACCAGCAATGAGTGCATCGATCAAGAATGACGGCGCCGTAGACAAACGTATATAGGGGGTTTTATGTGTGTTCCAAGGGATTCGCAAGTACTCAAACCTGTAAACTCCGGCATTGAGTTGGATGGTGATGCGATATTGTCGGTATCGGTTCTTCGGGATGGAATTGATGGCGTCGCTCAATGAGATGAAATCTCCTATACCGTTCTGGTCCACCACAATGTATGTAGAGGGCGTCACCACGCTCTCCCAGTCGGTGTACTGCTTCATTCCCGGAAAATCCAGCGTCAGGTCGGGCTGGATCATCCCTGGCTTATCCGCAAGCTTCTGTTTGAGCTCGTGTTTCATCCGAACGTTCTCGATCCAGTCTTCATATTCGGCAACGGCTTGCTTCATTGTCGGGGTAGAAGCCGGCGCCCACTTGATTGATTGGAGGCCGCGCAAATGGTCCTTGTTGCAATTCACTGTCGACGCAGACAATAGAATGTATGCACCGAAAATGAAGGATGAAAGCGACACGACATTCCTGCTCGCGCCCATTTCATCAAAGTGGGAATTTTTCAGAAGGCAAAAGGTAGGGTAGAGTCTGATCTAACAAATAATGTCGTAGCTGCTCACGAGCTGATCTCTCCTACTCGAGGTCGATTCCCACGCAGTTTCAAATCCGAATCACGAAATGCTTAAGTTCACTGCTCACTACACTCCGAAGAGTCTTCATCCTTTCCCAGGGGAAAATCCAAGGATGAGGAAACGAAACGCCGGCTGTTGAAAACCTGCATCTGTGGACATATCAATTCTCACGTCAAGTCGTAAGAAACAGAGCAAAAAGCCGCCAGCACCATGAATGCCGAAGAAATGAAGAATTCACTCCAACCATGATCCACTGATTGCCAGCTACATGGGACCAGAGACACGAAACTGCGTCATGTGTTGCCATGTTTATGAAGAGCTTGAGCACGACACACTCACAGATGAGTAAAATACACCAGTCTATTCCGAACCGCCCCTATCATCTCCGTGACGCCAACCACCATGTCCAATCCAACGACGACGCCCCAGCTAACCGTGAATTTGCATCGTCAGATCCCCCCCAACTGAACCCAGAGGTTGCACTGCACTGTTCTGCTCTGCAGCTCACTGCAGCGTCTCCAAGTCAAGCCCGCTCCTGATGGCACTGCAGACACCACGCTGTGCAGTAAAATCCTATCCAAATTGTGAGCATAGAGGGAATCTGCACACACACACACACACGCTGTGATCATCCCTGCATGGCTGAGTGCGACGTCCTCCATCTGGTGTGACGTCGCGAAGACCGCCAGTGGTTAGGATTACCGTAGCCCCCCCCCCCTTTCTCTTCTGTCATATTGAATTCCCCTCAGCGTACACAACCGTCACGTAGAAGTGTACCTGGGCGTGTCAGACCTCGGCACCCCATGTGAGAGACCCACACCGTATCCAATGAACCCACCCCCTCCATCTCAAGCTTCTTCTGCTTCTTCACCCTTGCAAAAAACTGTTAGCTTCATCTACACATCGATCCCTGTGTTTTGCACACACACAATGATGCCACATGGACTCAGCAAGTGTTAGCATTCGTGTACCGACACCATGTTGTGCATGTGACTGGACAGTGTTGTTGTTTATCAATGCCGAGGTGATGTTCCTTCATTGTCATCATCCAGATTTGCGGTGCTTTTTTGCAGGAGCTAGTGATGCATTCCGTTTCTTTTTCTTTTTCTTTTTCGATGATGGTTTGCTGGTGGGAGTTGTTTGTACTGTTTTTGCTGAGGTCGGTGTCAGTATCACTCTTCAGCTTCGCCGATTCGTAGGCTTTTCTTTTCACTTCCTGAACTTTTGTAGTTTGTTTATGAAGTAGGAGCTTTCAATTGGGGAGTATAAAATGTGGCTCTTGGGCTATGACTGGACTAGTATTGTACGTGACTGTGATATGTGACTTGTTGGTATGGAATACATCATTGTTGTGTCGGATGTTTGTTCATGTCTTTGGGGACTTAAGGATTAAGGCTTCAGGTCTCGCACTTTGATGTCATTGGTATTATTTTGTGTTTGATTTTATTGCTTTGTTTTGGTATTTATTTGTCCTTCAAAAGGCATGAAGCATTTGAGAAACAATATGTTGCTTATTGCTATCTACATGCTTCAAAATATAGTGTTTTAGAGGAGATCTTTTGTATGATATTTGTACCAAAAATTAGAGAATTACTATTTGAAAATACACCCTTCTTCTCAAAAAAAATATTGGGTTGATGTAAGAAGGGTAATTGATTTTTCACTCACGGTCCTTTCTAAAGCATAGATTTAGTCATGACATAATTTTTATTCTAATTATCTAATAATTCCAAATTTACCATAAATTCCAAGTATTATATATTCATCTCTACTAATTTATTAAAATTAGAAATGAACACCAATTAACTCCTAAAATTCCAATTCTCTTATTGGATAATTCCAAAAAAAAAAAAAAATCATAATTACTAAAAATTACCAAGGTTTATTCTACTGATAATTGTTGGCTTATAACAAGAATTTAATTTGAAGTACTAATTCTGATAATAAATAAATCAATCAATTAATAAAGCACAATGGATTATATATCATATTACTTATATCTTGTGATCTTAGGGATGGTTATATTTATTAGTATGAGAGAATTTTTCAACAATGTGTTGTTATACAATATTATAAAATTGGTAAAAATGCATCTCTATTAGCTCCAATCAAACCAACTTACTATTTGTACTAATTTATATTAAGAACTTGTTGAGTACTTGCAAAATAATAGAAATTTACCTAATATAGAAACATATGATTTTTCTTTTTTTTTTCTTTCATAAAAAGTGGTAGATATATGCACTAGCACTACCAAGTTGTTATGAATATAAATCAAGTATATGGCAAGCTAGTATTCTATTGTAATACAACTTTTAGGTAAAAAAGTAAATAAAGACCATAATATATATATATATATATATATATATATATATTTTTATAGATATATATGACTTAGTTGAAAGATTAGTAGGAATTATTTTTTAGAGATCATAGGTAATAGATAGGAAAAAGAGAAAATTTTAATACTAATGCTGCATTTATTTTTATTAAAAGAGCTTCTACAAACTTTGTACGGCCATAAATAAAATAAGTTATAGTAGAATAAATATAAAAACTTTGCAAAGTCCTTTATGTAAAATTAAAAGATATTATTTTAATAAAAAGTAACTAAAAAATTTATAGATTGATATTTAGAAATGGATATTTCTAAAACGTGGTTAAAATTAGACCTTGAGGCACAGACATTAGCACCCACTACAAATATGGAGTTATTTTTATTAATTGGAAAGTGGTTTAGAGAATAAACTTTAAGAAAAAATTCTCAATTCATAACTTTAGTCTTTTTAAATTTCATGAAGTTATTGACAACTAGAAATTTTAAAGGTATACAAAGTTATAAGCAAAACAATAATCAAAAAATAATTATTAGCTTTTAAAGTTGTTATTTGATAGTTAAGAATTTTTTAAAGATTTAATAGGATTTTATTAGAATTTTAATAGAGCTTATATAAGATTTAATTAAAATTACTTAAGAAGTTATTTAGAATTTTTTAAGATTTACTCAAGGTTTAATTAAATTTTATTTACAATTTATAAAAATATTTGATAAGATGTTTTGAAATATGTTTAGGATTTAATAGAATATACTTCAATATTTTATAATTTATTATGGTATGCTTCTTTTTTCTTGATATTTTATTAAAATTGGTTTAAAATTTTATTAGGACTTTCTTAAGATTTTGTTTAGGTTATTTGATTGATTTTGTTTTGTGGTTTAGAATTGATACGATTTAGAATTGATTGAGTTTAGTATTTCAAAGAGAATTAAACTTATTAAGGTAGTTTTTTTAAGATTCTTTATTTATTTTTTGATTTATGAGAAGAACTATAGGGTTTAGATAAACATCTTTTATAACTAAATGCCCAATGCATTTCTAAGCAAGGATTCACATAATATAATATTATTTTTCTAAAATTACCCAATTTTTTGACAAAGTTATTTAAATTATAAGCACCTCCAAACTATTCTAAATTAATTATCTAAGACTTTAAATAATAATTACTAATTCTAAAAACCTTTTTAGATAGATTGTAGAGTTTTTATGCAAACTATTGTACATGTCTATATTATTAGATTCCAATTTCTTAGTTTGTTTCATATTCATTTTTTTTATTATCTTATCTTAAGATGATATTATATTATATTAGAAAAATCAAAAAATATATCTTATGATATTATTTTTTAATAGAAATTTTAAATCCTAAATCCAACTTTAATCTATATTGATAATAAAAAATTATATTATATTAAAATAAAATATTAATGCTGTTTTTTGATAAAATCTGGTTGTAAAGAATATGCTTGATTTTGGAAATAATAATGTATTTAGATAAAGCAATAAATTATATTTAGTAGGATTATAATCTATGTTCCTTTGAAATTAAAATTTTAGAAAAATAAAAACATTTCTATCCTAAAATTATCTTATTTGATACATTTAATATAATTACTAGTTAAAAAAAATTATATATATTTGTATCAAAAAAAAAAAAAAAAAAAAAAATCTACTTATTAAATGGATATTTTACTAATGTTGGAGTTCTTCTACCATTTTCCTTTCTTCTAAGACTCTTCTTTATATAAGAAACACTTTGTACTTAGGAGACAAGGTGAGAGGCCTTAACTTTTGAATATTTAGATTGGTTGAAATCAAGAAGCCTTTTTAAATTGGCTTTGTACTTAGAAAAGTAAATCCGAAGACTCTATAAGAAAAAGATGAGGTGGAATGAATTTTTTTGCATTGCATTGCATGGATAGTGGTGTCTTTTAAATTTTCTATTAAGTCTTTATCAAAGAAATTGGTTTTTAAAAAATAATTAAGAAACCATGTCTAAAAATACTTTAAATAGCTATTTTTAAATCATTTTTTTTTATACTTCTCATAATTTATTGAATATAGATATAAACTAACAAATTTTCAATTGCAATACATAGATGATTTGGTCTATTTTATGGCTTTTTCTTGTTGTATACTGTATCAAAAAAATTTAGATTTCTAAAAGAGAGATTTTCTTCACCAAGTAAGGGACCTTGGTGAAGCTTTTAAACCATGACCTCTCAAAGTGGGCCTTTTAAAGTAGGATTCTAAATTGCACCTAAGTATACAACTATATATATATATATATATATGTATATACATACATACATATATAAGGTGATGCTAATGCTACTATATTTTTTGCTAATGTCACCACAATTTGCCACCCATTGGACATGTTTTAGTTTTATTTATTATTCTAATAAAAAATTGTTAATATTTTTAACATGTTTTTTAGTTTTCAAATTATATAAAATATAGATTCAGTTTTAATAAAAAACTGCTAACTAAAATTTTATTAAAAATAAATTCTGGTACTAGTAACAAAAACTGTGATGACAATAGGAAAAATGGGATGACATTAACAACCCCCTATATATATATATATATATATCTTTCTGTCTCTCATCATTTTCTTCATCTCTCTTTCTTTCTTCGTGCATGCCTGTATTTATGCCTTGCTTGCTTTCATGCTTGTCTTTCTTTTTAATTTGCTTTCTTCTGTTCATCTGCCCATGCAACATCTGACAATGAGATTGTACTTCCCTGGAGGCAATGAAGATAAGAGGAGCTTGGCATTGCTTTAGTTCAGAGGAGCACACGGTGAGCGTATTGATGAGGCAACGCAACACCAGCAGCAGCAATAGCGTGCATGAGGCTGCTGCTCTTCGATCAGGCTGCTCTTCTTGTCATTGTGCTTTCGTCTCCCCCATGTGCACACTTCCAGCGACGATTCTGTGCACTTCATTGACAATGGGGTTGCTGCTTTTGCATACAACTTCTAGCTGTTGCAATGATCTCGCCCAAATCCCCGTACCACCAGTGATGACGGGACTGTACCCCAGTCTGTCTTTTCAAGTCAAGTGAACTCATTGCCTCGGTTTAATGTGCCACACGAAAGCGTGGTGGCAATTGATTCCGCATCACAAAATATAAGCCCATGTTCCAATCTTCGCGAGATGAGCACCTTTGCATGGAAGTCAGAGTGGAAAATGCACGAATTCAATGATATCTGGTCAGTCGAAATGGCTGGACTCGGCCGAATCAGCTGGGTTTTGATGCTACCTTCAGTCTTTTTCTGTATGATGCGACCGACGCCCTGATGGCGTACGGGGAATCGGAAAGACGTTGTCTGGGAAGC